ATACTTTTAAAGTACCTCACATTTTGGAATGCATTTAGTAAACTCTATAGCTGTCACTGATGGAAGCTATATATTGGGCATGTTCTACTTTTTTGAGGTCCTTTGATATTAATTGACGAGCCCATATTCAACTAGGTCTGGCCTAGTCCATAGAGTAAGCCCAAATCATCAAAAGGCAAGCCAGGTTTAGCTCATGAGCTCAGTCTAGTACAAAACTCAAAACTCTAGGAAGTGTCAACGCATGTGGAAAAGCAATCATCGGGAAAGTCATTACTTCAAGATAGTGCTCATCCTTAACTATAGCTATATTCTCCAATAAATTAGTAGTTTAACCTTCACGTCACCGCCTCAGCTAGGGCTATGTGCTTATAAATTGTAAACCCCCTACGCATAGGTGCAGATTTCACACACCCCACCTTGAGAGTACTCCTGCTCTCTATATATCTATCTCTCTTTTTCCCCTACTACCCTTTACACTCATTAATAGAGTTCACTAGTTACCGTTGCCGCCTCCAGTGGTTAGGTCCCCAAACCCAACCACCCAATCGTTATCTCTTATTATTAATTGTTTCATTAATTGCTTCACACCACACACTTGACTGATTAGATTGTGCATAAATCCACTTTTGTGCGTCATTAGTTTGCTGTCGTCTATGAGAACGGTTTGATTCTCACCTTATAGTCTTCCTACCTCCAATGGCAATCACAACTAGATCAATGAACCACCAAGCAGAAGATGACCCGCCACATCATATCGAGGTCCCACCACTACCGGTGAAAAGTAGACATGAGAAAATTCTACATCTTCACTAATTTATGGTTAAAATTCAAATTCCGAGTGAAACAAGTGTTTTTGGGGGAAAATTGGTGTCCAAACCGCCATTGGCAATTTCATTGTGGTAGATCACGAAAAAATACCCGGATTCAAAAATAATATTCACCTCAAATAAACAATCGAGTGCAAAGTTATGATTGTTCAAAGTTTTGTAGCTTCTTCAAGGTTGTCTAATACTCTGCCCAACGTCCAATGTCTAGGTGCCCTACACCAACAGGTCAGCATCAACGCCAACGCCAGCACCCAGCGCCTAGTTTCCAGCGGCGTCCGTGCCCAGCGCCAAGTGGCGTCTGTGCCTGATAGCGCCCACGCCCTATGCCTATTACACCGCACGCCCTACTATTCCCACTCCCCCGGCACCCAACTCCCCAGCACCTACTCTCCAACTCCAGCACCTGCGCCCACTTCCTGGCCCGCGCCCTTACCTTGGCTCCTACCTCCTCGGTCGCCCACATACCTTTGCCTTAGAAGCCTTGGCGCTTGCCTCTACACTTGCTTGCACGCCTTTTCTTAACACCTACCCCCTAGCTCACTTGGGCACACTGCACGTATCGTATTCCTTGCTTGTCCAGCAGTGCCCTTGGTGCCTAATGTCACCTCCCCTAGTGCATCAAATGACCTCGTCTCCCACGCTTGGCAGCCATGCACCACCGGCTCTATGCTACCGATGCCTTCTAGCTACCCTCACTATCCTCTTCGTCTTTTGAGAGAGTGCCTCCTGAGTCGCTAGTAGCTCGGCCTCACTTTGCCTCTTTTCTCATGTAAGTAATCTCAGTCTTCTACTTAGCACCTCTCTAATAAGTCGCCAGAAAACTCGGTGTAATCCTACCTCTACTTTGAAGCAGCCTAAGTCTCCAACTTAGCGCCTCTCTCACAAATCTCCAAAAGCTTGGCCTCACTCTACCTCTACTTTAATACAAGCAGCCTATGTCTCCAACTTAGCACCTTTCTCACGAGTCGCCATAAGCTCGACCTAACTCTGCCTCTACTCTCACGTATGTAGCCTCATTCTCCAGCTTAGCACCTCTTTTATGAGTCGTAAAAAGCTCAGTCTCACTTTGTTTCTGCTCTCACATAAATAGCCTATGTCTGTAGCTTAGCGGCTCTATCCTAAGTCCCTATAAGATTGGCCTCACCCTGCCTCTGCTCTCATGCAAGCACCCTCAGTCTCCATCGTAGTGGCTCTCTCCTGAGTTGCAAGAAGCTCAACCTAATTCTACCTCTACTCTTACACAAGCAATCTGAAAGCTTCGCCTTAAGAGGTGTTACTCTCTCATAAGCCAACCTCAATTACTCTTCAACTGCCTAGCGCGCCCGTATCTCTTCCATCAAAGCTCTTGACACCTCATCGAGTTTGAGCATCCTCGAAAAAAGGTACGAAAAAGTCACAGATTTCTATGAATATCCAAAAGCAAGAATGATAGTATGACAAAAACATACAGACGACAAGGTTGCACATAAAAGAAAGGTACCATAGCAAACCCCTCCGTCGTGGTATCGATGCTATCCTCAAGACCCCAAAAGCTGACCTCTCTAATATCCAACGGTGTCACAAACTTCCAAATTCTCTCCTTGGCCAAATTCACATCCTATGGCATGGACATCGGGCCCCTACTGGAAGCAGGACAATTAGGCGGAGCTCTAATCTCAGTGAAGTCTGCATTGGGGTCTCAATTTCTAAAATAGTCCTAGGACTAACCCAAGGACTCCAAGGGGTCACATGCTGAGAAAGAGCAAGGGCACCATCAGACCCCCACCTTCTGAGGAATGATAGGCCCATTAGTCCTCAACTGGGAAGCACTAGGCATCAAATCTCGCCTTCTTAGGAGGAGGAGAAGTCACCATCCTTGTGACATAGAGAGCATCTACCATTGATCTATCAACCACAGGATCACCTGTGGAGTCTGAATGAAAAAGATAATTTTCAAAAATCGAAGACATCGTCAGTTTGCCTGGGTCCTCCATGGTGTGCCTCATGGCACCGCCCAGCTTTGCACCTTTCCTGGTGTCGCCCAGTTTCATATCCATGGCTCCACCTAAGCATCTCTTTCCAAGGCGCCACTCACTAAATCATCTCCATCTCCTTGGACAAAAGCATATGTGCCTTTTTTTCATCCTATCTTTGTTGCTTGTGGAAGGAAAAAAGAGAATGGCACTATCCTAGTTCTAATCAGGAAAAAGGGGTTTGAGAGACCTAGGAGAGAAATTTGTTTGCTAGCACATTAGGTCTCCAACAATGGCACTACCAAATGGAGAAATAAGTTTTGAAAATGCAAATAGAAGGAAAGTTGAAGATAAGAAGCCACCGTGTGAAACAAGATACCTTAGTCTACCCAAATGAAGGAACTCACTCATGGCCTTAACCCCCTATCACCACTTGGACTTGGAGCATGGGGGCAAATGATGAGCATAGATCCATCTGGGCCCATTTCATGGGTTAAGCCCAAATCATCAAAAGGCATGCCAGGTTTAGCTCATGGCCTCAATCAAGTCCACAGCTCGAAAGTCTAGGAAGAGTCAACACACATGAGAGAGCAATCATCGGGATGACCATTACTTAAAGATAGTTCACATCCCCAACTGTAGCTATCCTCCTTGATAAATTAGTAGCTTAACCTTCATGTCAATGCCTCAGCTAAGGTTCTATGCCTATAAATTGTAAACCCCCCTATACATGGGGGCAGATCTCACACACCTCACCTTGAGCGCACTCTTGCTCTCTCTCTCTCTCTCCTCTTATTACCTTGTACTCTCTCATTAATTGAGTTTTTCGGTCACCATTGTTGCCATCTCTTTGTTTCTTATTATTAAATGTTTTATTAATTACTTCACACCACACACTCAACTAATTTGATTGTGCATAAATCCACTTTTGTGAATCATCATTAATAACTATTTTATGCCAAAATTTTCTTGTAAAAGTATTAACCACGCCACAAACTAATCATTTAAGTAAGTAAAACAATTAAATAATTGAGATATTCTAAAATTAGTTAAAAATTAAAATAATATTTCTATATTTTTTGAGAAACGTAACAATGAAATGCTTGTTAACCACATATGAGGGTGGGGTCAATTTCCCGTCCTAAGCTTTGTTAAATTTTAAAAATCTTTTCGTTATTTAGTTGATTTCCATGTGTTCATCTATCTGAGTGATATGTCGTGAGTTCACGTTCAAGTTTTAATGTACCCAACATGAAGTTAAGATTAGTTACCACTTAACTCTTTTAAACTATGCTAATGTCAGGAGTCGTTGTGGTGGGGTGTGGATTGTTTTCACCAATTCGTGGTTCTTGTGGATTTGCCTATCCAACTAACATTATTTTTGTTGGTTTTACTTTTTGTTCTGAATCCTAAAGGATTTCAAAGGTGCTAAAGTTACTGAATAGAATAACAAGCGAACATTGTAGTTAAATTAAGGGTAAGTGAATATGGATGCCAAATTACAGTTTTTCCTTATGAAAGTCAACTTATGAAAAAACATAGATTGAGAAAGTGAATGGGTGAGGAACCCAATTATATACAAAAAATTAAAAAAATATATATATATTGGATGAAATCTCACTTACTAACTTTATCTTGCTAGGTGGAAAAAAAAATTGATTATTTACAATCGCAATCAAATAAATAATCTGTTTTCCATCAAGATTTCTTAGGAGACGGAATAAAGGTCTAAGTTGGAACAACTTAAAAGCAGGATGGCTAAATCAAAAAAAATTATGGGCTTGATTGAAACTTGGACTAAAATTTAGAGGCCAAATACGGTTTTAATCCATTTAGATAGTTTTGGAGGCCTTTATCAATCATTTATCAAGATAATATGGGGGCAACATCAAGAGCTTTACAAAAAATAGAAGTATATATATTCTGTTGTTTACTATGGATAATATTTATATACAACTCCTGGGTCACTAATGAATGGCTCACTTGTTCTAATCACATAATCAACAATTCGGGAAATAAAAACAAAAAACAAGAGCAAAAATGAAAAGAACAATGACATAAAGCCTCTTTATTATAGATAATGGGCAATGCAATAAGGAGGGTGGCACCCATCTTGTTACATATCTAAGTAGATGGAGTTAGAAGGAAAAAAATGCACAAGTTAGTATACAAGACTCAGTTCCTATCATTCACCACATCTCAAAAGATTAGACGAATGCAATTATGCCCAATAAGTCTTTCTATAACTTGAACTCGAGACTGCAAGTGACAAAGGAACACGCCTTTCTTCATCAGGATTGGTAACTTTAACCTCAATCGACGTCGGTGCTTGAGATTGCTCCGAAGTCTCTGAAGAACTTGTGTACTCAATACTAGAAGAGTTGCATTCATAAACCCCTAATGCTTGAACAGTGTTTGGAGTTGTACCTTGTAGTTTTCTCACTATGATATGAAAATACTTTACCAACCCGGCCAACTTATACAACATAGTTCCATAAATCAAAGCAATATCTCCCTTGTATGACTGGTGAGTTGCAAATAATAGATAACATATGGTGGAAATGAAGGCTGAGAAGAGGTAGAGACCCCAAAAACTTTGCCAACTCAAGCTATCAATCGTGTCAGGAGTTTGAGAGTTTAGACACTTGGGAGAAGCAGTAAACCATTTAGTTTCCAATTGTTCCAACCTACCATTCTCTGATAAGGTCAGAATAGCTTGGGAGACATCTTTAACAATTGGAGAGCCTTTCTGAAATACCTGCATGGTGAGAGTAATTTTGTCTAGCGAGCAAAAAAATTCAAAAGAAGGGTCATAAATGAACAGATATGTTCATGGATAACTTGGTAATAATTCTTGCCTTAGTTTGTTCGTTTTTATAAATAAATTGATCTCTGGCATAGTTTTAAAGCTCATTCAATAAACAAGCTAAGCCCGATTAATGGCTTGTTTGGATTGTAGTCCTATTCAAAATAGTTTTAAAGCTTGGCTCAATTCAGTCCATTTGTAGTCCTATTCAAAATAGTATAAAGAGTTCCAGTAATTACTCACAAATCCAAAGCCTCCAAGTCTGTGAGCAACTCCATCTGTGGGTGTGGCAACAGTGTACCCCTTGCAAAAATGATTCATGAACGCCTTCGAATAAGGGAGTTCAACAAATGCTGCAGTGATATTGCCACTCTCGAATTCGGCTGGGTAGTCGTATTCACTGATGATGCTCTTGATGTTTCTAGGGTCAAATTTAAGCACATTTTGTAGATACTGTTTTATAAACGAATTGATGCCACAACCTACTGGTGCATTGTTCTTCTTCAGCCACTCTATGTCTGTTTTGTTCGGTTCTAGGCGTTGGACAGTGAGCATTGAGGAGAAACTTGCAGTGTAGCTTGAGGATAAAACTAAGACAACGAAGAGCCATACCACCACCACTACGCGAGTGTAACTATTGTGAACCCTTTCCCCTGTGATATGACCACAAGTGTTTGAGTTATGGTCTGTTTGATACCATAAAGCAATTCAATACATTAAACCAAGTATATTCAACACTTTTCAAGTTAATTATAGTAGATGTAACCAATATGGTTTTTCTATCTCGAAGTGTACCAAGCGTAGTAAATGGCCGGGGGAAGGAATATAGTGTTACCATCTGGTAAATAGGTGAATCTCATACAATTTAGTAATCACTCCTCTACGTAATCTCATAACCACTCATTTAAAAAAAAAAAATAAGTTCTACTTTATCTATTTAGTTATGTTTTCATTTTGAATGGTGACACCACATAACATTGATAATGTGATGTCATTGTTATATTGAACTCTAAGTTCAACCCAAGATATGAAACTCCTAACCCAAAGTTAATCCACGCTATTAACTCAAGTATTGTCAATGATTAGATCTTCAAACTTAGGTTCAACCCAGGTGACATGACACAAGTACAATTTCGGGTTCGAGCTGGACTAAAACTACATTTTCACTTGGGTTTAATTCCCTTATCTAAACTATGTGGGTTGAAATATGGGTTAAATATAAATTATGCCTATAAGTCCAACTCAAATATTAAAGCTCTATATCGACTTTCAAAATATTTCAGATTAAGCTCGAATTGACCAGCCCAAACAACATCCCTAGATTAGTCTAATAGGTTTTGTTAGCCATGCTCATACTAAGCTCATCAGAATGTTACACTTTATGGAAAGACTACGATACCGAACGTGGTATCGGACTGAAATTTATAATTTTTTATATGCAAGTTATAAAGTTTTGAGGTGTAAGTTATAGCTACAAAAGGTATATCGTTCTTAAAATGTCATGATCGATCATAAAAGTTATAAATTTTAAAAGTTAAATTATAACTCATAAAGAAGAAGTTACAATTCATTCGATTAATTCATGATCGATTACAGTATTTCATGATCGGTCATGAATTACCTAAATGAGTTCTGGGTTCTCCTTTGCTAGTAGTAACTTGACATTTAAAAGTTATGATCGAACATGAATTATATCAACTAGTTGCAATTTTTCCTTAACAAATAATAATATTTAGTAAGATAGAATTACCCTACAATCTATAATTGTTGAAAAGGACACTTACTCTGTGCAAAGAACAGTGAGGTGGATGTGAACCAAAGTGAAGTCCCCAGTTGATTCTGCCATGGGCCTGTAAACTCCGGATTCGATTGACGCTCCAAAAGCCAGACTATGAACACAGTGTAGAGCAAAATGGTAGCAGTTACTGCCCACATTTCCATGGTAAAAGGCTTCAAGAAAATCCATGCTTTTCCATGCTCGGGCTTTACCGTTACTATCATTGACAAGCTTGATTCAGCATATGGCTGTGTAAATTCCACGTACTTTGATCGATTGGCCAGTATGGTTACGTCACCAATCACAACGTCGAATGTCTTAAATTAATTATGGTACACATTTCAAGCATAAGATCTTTGTAAGAAATTGTGACGCAAAAAAGTCACAAAGACAACCAACAAATTAAAGTAGTAAAACACATAATTCAAGAAATTATGTGGGCAGAACAACAAGGAGTTCCTTGTCTTCTAACTGAATTAGATCATTTCCAAATGCTGACGAGATCATAGCTCAAAAGAAACATCGATCTCCTAATTAAAATTACTAAAAAACCAATAAACATCAATCTCCTATCTGGGACAGATTCTAGAAATGGGTCCCGAAAGAGCCGCTTGGCGGTGCTACATGTTGAACCCAAAGAAAGCCTTGTTCATAGGCTTCAGGTTGGCCAATCCATGGAAATTTTTAATTAGAATTAATCACGCTTTAGATCGAAGCGCATAACACAAGTATGCACAGACTTAGGTGGGGTGGGGTGGGTGGTGTGTGTGGGCAGAGACGGGCCATGCCCCCCCCCCCCC